GCCAGAGAAGGCCAAGTGAGCACCACGGAGCACTGATTTATAGAACGGGCCAGCCCTGGCATTGTGCTCCACAGCATGGTAGAATCTTTGTTCAAAAAGTGAATTCACTGAGATCCTTTTTGTGTTCGAGCTCATGCTTTTGTAGGCTTTGTTTTGGCCAAAGTCCCAAAGCTCATCTCTTCAGCAGAGGCTTGGAATTCCAGCCACATGGAGGAAGTGTGTGGGAGGAACGGGCACTGGGAGTTGGAATTGAGGCCATGGTGGCAACAGGAGGCCAAGCCATCCTGCAGGAGCCCATCAGAGCTATTCATAGGAAAGGAGACTCAACATGTGCATTCCTGCCAGAAGCAGTGGCTGGTCCTCAGCCCTGTGCACAAAGTCTTGACCACCTAGTCCTCCAGACACGTGGGCTTCACTAGGTCCTATTAGTACAGGGAGCTGCGAAGTTGCTCAGGGAAAGGGTTTAGGTTCAGGGACAGAGGTGTCCTGGGGCCTTGTTCACCAGTGTGCCAGGCACAGCGGGGTCACTCTCTTACGAAGGAGGGAGGTACAAACCAAAAGGACTGCTGTGGAAGCGAGCCCTATTCTATTCCTGTCCTTGTCCCTGGGTCTCCACCCTCCTCAGCAGAGTGGAGGGACGGCCTAGAGTGTTTAAGGAGGTCATGGCCCTCCCCTGGGGTGCCCCACATCACGCTGGGTACACATCATTTCTGTGATGTCTGAACATTGACCTTCGTGCTCCTTTATCCACTGTAAGGGGACTTGGCTCACTCTAGCATGGCACACAGATTTCAGCTAGCTTTGCAGGGTGGCTCTTTAGCGTTGAGTCATTGAGTCCACAAGGACTATGAGGCCAAGGATCCTAGTTTAAAAAAGAACTCTGGGATTAATTAGTGATGTCTGCTATGAATGCAAAAATAGAAAAGTGGTCCTAGTACTTGCTTTGTATAAGAGGAGGGTTCCACAGGCAGGAGAAACCCTTCAAGGTATCAAATGGACTTGAAAGGAGAGGGAAGTGGATATTCAGGCTTTCTGCTCCTGGGGAGCACAGAAACTCTGTTACTGAGTCTCCAAAAAGCAAACCACACCAAGCCTTACATCCCAGACTGCCACAGAGGCTTGGCGAGGTGTGGATATGGTTCTGGGCAAACTTCCTGGAAATACCAGAGAGAACACATTTGGCAAATAAAAAGGCAGGCGACAATAGGGAAACAAACCAGACTTCCAATGGCTGTGGCATTTCTTGTCTTCAGATACTACTACACTTAGCCATTCAGTCGTATTCCAAATCACTGCCTTGAAGCTGCCCCTGTGTCCCTGTGAGAGACAGACCTATTGTTTGCCATAGCCCACCCTCCCTCCACGCGGCTGCTGTGGGCTCTGGTGCTGCCTGTACTCACTTTCCAGAACCTTCACTGTTTACATCTCCAGTACGGTGGTTCAGAGCATTATCTACACTGTGGTTAAACATCAGTCAAAGAAGGGTGGTGCCTGTCACCTTGACAGGAAGAGCCGCGCATGGATCTCCAGCTTGCACAGTGTTGTACAGCAGTGCATGCTGGGCCAGTTTAATGCCAAGTCTTAGGTATGGCCCCTTGTTGGTGCCTGACCCAGCCTGGCCCCAGTCTCGACGTTCAGGTCTGCCTCCAAAATACACCTTCATCAGACTCAGCTGTGGTCTGGGTCTGGCCTTCTAGAAATTGAGATGCGATTCCTGACCAAGGAAGGTCGAATCATTGGATTGTAGGAAGTGGCCGTTTTGTTAGGGAGTAGTCACATTTAAGGGCAGCTTTTCTTAGCATGGTGGCAAGACTTCATCAGGCCTCCTCAGGGTCTGGGTGGTATTATTGGGGCTACCGTAGAGATGGCAGGGTCCAGACTCAGTGTGACGGATCTCGGGTTCCTGGGGCTGGAGCCACACCTCCCAGGACACCTCAGAGGACTCAGCTGGTAAAGCATTTACTCGATGAGTTCCCCTTCTTGATGGGTACAGCGCTCTGTGAACACTGCATATTGTTTCAAGATGTCTGGAACGACAGGAGGGTTCTTTTTCTGGAGCCAACAGTTAGGACGGCTGGGTGCCATCCCCTAAAGAATTCCTCCAACTTCCTCCAGCCCATGGAGGTTCCCCCAGTGCCACCTGCAAGGCCCCTCTGGTCTAACCCAAACCCTAACCCTCAGTCACTTCCTTGGGATCTGTGAGTGAGTCCTTTGGACTTGGCCTTACCTGGATGACTGGTCACTGTGACCCAAATGCCAGCTACTTGGCCTGATGTGGTCTCTTTTCCTCTGACTTTCTCTGATTTTACATTATTTATAAGCAGCTTCAGCTCGAAGCAATACCAAGGCCCAGGAACAGGCAGCAGGCTGGCCTGGAGCTGTAGCACTGTGCATCCCTAACACAGCGGCACGGCCCCCATTGTGTGGGGGCAAGCCTGGAACCAGCCAGTAATTGATACCAGGGGAGCTGGCTGCACTTTCTGCCCCGCAAAGCTAATCCTGGGCAAGCTCTCGGCAGTCAGTCCAGTTGAAGCTGGATGGCCCCAAAACGGACAAGGTGAGGCAATCAGCGGAAAGGATGAACAGCTTTGCACAGAGGGGCACTGGGCGCTCTGCCCCTTGATGCAGATGTTTCTCCAGTGTGGTGCTCTGTGAAGTGACCTCACCGAGGCACAATGCAGTGTGCAGCCACCCCAGTGCCATGTGGGAACAGGAATGTCGCCAAGTCCCTGTCAGTCCTTGTGCATGGAAAAGCCTTTAGCAGTGTCTTACTAATTGGAAGCCATCGCTTTTTGTCCTGAACGTTAGTTTTTAGGGAATACTCATTACATGTTGTGCCCTGGGCTTTTTTCCCCGAACTCCCCTGTCTGTGGAGAACACATCCTGAGTATACATCCCACTTCCCAGGGGCCCTTACATGGCCATCTTCCATCTTAATATATACGAGCCTTGCTCTGTAATGTGTGCATCGCGGTTGGGTGGTAAAAACGGTGTCATGGGTCACAGGTGGTGACAGGTGTGTGCAGGAAGATGGGCGCTCTCCTCTGCAACTCCATCAGGACTTAATAAGATGAGCTAAGATCCTCTATCCCAGCCCCTGGCAAAACTGTGGGGACAGCAGGTAGGAAAGACTGAATTTAACTCTGGGTTTAGCAGTCTGCAGTGCAGGTTCCTTCCAGGACTGTGTGCCATGCTCTTCCTCTCCCTCTGCTGGGAGTTTCCTGGAACCTGCCTCAGCACCTGTGTGCCAGGCCCCAGGCACAGGACGTGGAAGAATCTCGCCCACTTCCACCCATCCCACCGTCTCCACGCAGCATCCTTCTCCAGGCCGAAGGTCTCTGCAGTGGGGAACCCAAGCCTCTGGCCTTGGCCAGGGAATCTGAGGTTCTCATGGACCAGCATCAGCTGAGGGGACAACAAAGGGTGGGGTTCACCAAAGAGCAAAGCGACCGGTGTCAGGGAGGAAGCTGATCACTAGGCAACCTGGAGATTGTTACCCTGGTAACAGATTCATGCACTGATGCTTTGGATGGGCACCTTGTGACAGTGCCTCTCAGCCCCTCCATATGCATCAGGTGGCTTCAGAGAGCTGCCTTGTGCCTGGCGTTGTTCTGCTATGTGGTTACTTCTTAATTGACCACTGAGTTTCTTATAGTAATGCACTGCTTGATAAAATACTCTGCCTACACCCCTGGAAGTCAAATCAGGGATTCTCCCCACCCTGTGGGCCCACTTGGTTTGAAACTGCCAATCCCTCAGCCCAGACCCCTTTTAATGGTTAGCCTCTTCACGACTTTCTTGGAAAAGTCCTTGGTAGGCAGAGGGCAGAAAAACCCATCTTGTGCAGACTTTGGAACCAGCTTGGGCGCTTGCATGTCCAGCGTGTGTGTCAGGATGACGCCTGGTCAAGGCCGAGGGCCAAGGGGGGACCACAGAGTCCAGGACATCCTGCATGGTGTGAATTTGAAGGGAATGGTTTGTAAGGATAATGGGCTGCTTCACCCTTGCAGTGGCTGTGAGCACCTGTGGGGTTTGCTGCACAGAGCAGCTGAGGGTGCCTGGGCTGAGCTGTAGCCCCAGGACCTTGAATGGACGCCCATTCTGCCCATGCATCTAGGGCCAGGGCCCCACGAGCAGAGGACAGGCGAAGGCCTTACCGCCATTCTGTTAAAGCTCTAGAAGCCACTGCACCCGCCTGCACAGAATCGGTACCAGGGCACCCTAGAGAGAACGAGCTCAGGACATGCCCTCACACTCTCCTGACACCCCTGCCAACTCCAGGGAGCTGAGCAGCATGGCCAACCTGAGGTCCTGTGAGCAATTTGCCCTCACACCTCCTCAGACCTCCCCTCTTCCCCTAGTGCAGGTGGCAAGCCCACACTCTGCCCGTCTCTACCAGCACTTCTCTAGTTTCCTCAGAGCGTGACACCTCCGTGTGTCCCCTCCCACTTCGTGCGTCCTGTCACGTTTATGCTGCAGCGCAGCTGGTGGTGGTGCCAGTTGGAGGCACAGACAGAGCTCCCTCCGTGTTCCTTGTGAGTGGTCTGTGCGCCATATACTGTCCCTGTCTGCTGCTCCTACAAACGGACCTCCGTTCCTCAGGCCCGCGTGGCAGTGCAGTCAGCTCCACAGAGCTTCGCACAGCTTCCTAAGGCCAGGTCCCCTCCTGCCACGCAGACCCAGCAGACAGAATTGTGCCCTGGATTCCCTCAGTGTCCGGGTCAGCTGAGCTTGCTAGAGAGCTCTGGATTTAGCCTGCAGTCCAGGAACCTCCCTTAGCATCACCCTGAAGTGGGGAGCTGCGTGGCACCCATCTCTGCCTGCTCAGTTGGGTCCTGCAAAGCAGGGCCAGGAATGGGTAGGGGGGAACTAGGGGCTTGTCACAAGTGTGGCCCTGCTGGGCCTGACCACTGACAGCTGGCCGCCGTGTGGCTCTTGGGTGGTCACTATGTCAGCACTCACATTCACTTAGCCCACCGCACCTTCCCTCTTCCCCACAGGTATCCGCCCCCAGATCATGAACGGCCCCCTGCACCCCCGCCCCCTGGTGGCGCTGCTAGACGGCAGAGACTGCACCGTGGAGATGCCCATCCTGAAGGACCTGGCCACAGTGGCCTTCTGTGATGCACAGTCCACACAGGAGATCCACGAGAAGGTGGGTGCACCCAGGCCAGTGGCAGCACAAGCACACACTAGTACCACTGTTGTCGCCTCAGGAGTGCCCAGCACCCCTCCCCCTTGTGTCACCCCACATCTCCAGCAGCTGACGTCCGTAACAAGATCATCTGCTTTGGGCTCAGGGCTGTGGACAGGGGCCCTTACCCCACACCTCTGCAGTCCCAGGGTGGGGCTTCTCACCTGTGCTCTGCCTTCCCGGGGCAGGTATTAAATGAGGCCGTGGGTGCTATGATGTACCACACCATCACCCTCACCAGGGAAGACTTGGAGAAGTTCAAGGCCCTGAGAGTGATTGTGCGGATCGGCAGTGGCTACGACAACGTGGACATCAAGGCTGCTGGCGAGCTGGGTGAGTGTGTGGCCCTCGCTGCAGGGGCTGGGAGAAGGGCCAGAACAGCTGCTCCAGCTGTGGGAAGGTGGCCCGTTTCTGAGGGAGTCTCTGAAGGGCCTTGTTGCCTCATTGTCTTGTAATCCAGGGAGCACGGTCTTTGTCCCCAGAGCTTACAGCAGGCCCTAAAGGGCCTGGGGAAAAAGGCAGTAGGCTCCTTCTCAGGAATCGAGGGTGTCGGTGTCCACACATCACGCTAAACTGCCTCGGTTTGGGTGGGGAAGACTCATGTTTGGGCTCCCTCAGCCGTGGATGGGGGAGCCTTCTTCCAAGGGCTGCTGTCAGGCTGGGGATATAGCTCAGCGGCATAAGTGCTTGTCTGGCAAGCGCAGGGTCCCAAGTTCAATTCCCAGTACCAAAAAAAAAAAACCCAAAACAAAAAAACCAAGGGCTGCTGTCCATGAAAGAATCTGGAGCTTGTCCTCTGGAAGCGCGGCGCTAGCAATCATGACCTAGGTCAGCACCAACACAGACAGACCACGGCCCAGCACCCTGTCCTGCCTGAACCAGCAAGGCGTTCAAAGGAAAACCAGAGGCAGCAGATGGAGACCTGACGCCAAGGCTTCTTCCTGCTTCTTCTACCTGCAAGGCACAGGGGCCTCGCGCTCCCACATCCCACCGCTTGGCGTGCACTGTTTGCAGGTGGTGCAGACACTCAGCAGTGTCCCTTTAGAAAGGTCACAGTACTTGCTCTCCTTTGTGAGCATGGGCGAGCCCCAGATTCATGAGACTGCTTTCCTACTGGGCCCACCTGCACGCTGGCCTTGGTACAACCTCTCCTGTAGCCAGGGGCCTGCAGTCTATTTCCCCCTCACCCAAAAGGCCCTGATTTTTCAGGGATGGCCGGCCAGGTGGGTGCGATGCCGCCTCACACAGGCAGCCCAGCACTGTGCCTGAGCTGGAATGCTGCACATATGTGCCAGTTGTGCTCGTCACCCAGGAATACCACCTGCCGCATTTGCAGTGGAAGTGTCCCTAGTGGCCTGCAGCTTATTCCTGCAATCCAAGCCTGGCTCTGTGTGCAGGTATGGGGCATCTCTTTCATGCCATTGGCGTTCAGAGCAACAGCCAGATACTTGAACCCCAAGATGAGTGCTGGTGGTAGGAACAAGGCAGCAGGAGACACGTACACCCTGCTGGGGCCCTGCTCGTGTCCGTGGTGCTGGGAGTCTGGAAGTGTTGGGTGGGGCTGCTCCTTCCCCCACGTCCCGCATGGCAGGCAGCTCAGGAAAGGACAGAGGGTCACAGAAGATTCCAGGCTTCCTCCAGGAAGCTGTGTGCCCTTTCGCCTCCACCCAGTACCCTTGGTCTGACCAGCAGCCTTTGCCTCCAGCCACAGCCTCCTTGTGGGCGCCTCTTCGTTGCAGCAAAGAAACTGAGGTGGATTTGAGGCTCTAGAAATAAGTTTAACATAAACTAAAATTTTCCTTTTTTTTTTTCCTGGCACAAGCAATGACATTTCTGTTTAAAAACAAACATATTCTTTATGCTCTTCATGGAGCTAAAGATCCCGAGGTGAATAGTGTAGAACAGGGTTCTAAAGTCCGCTGCCCTCACACACCTCTTGCTTGTCCAGCTCGCCTGCCCCCAGCACAGCCTGGCCAAGAGCCAGCCTCATGCTTGCGTGAGGAGTGAGCACACCAGCCTCGTTCCTGCAACCGGACCTTCCGCGGAGGAACGGGAGGGTCTCCAGGTGAGACCTTCCTTCCGTCCAGTTGCAGAAAAGCTAAGAGCAGACAGGCTGGGTCCAGAAAAGAACCTCAATATCCAGTACATCCCACACCCCGAAGAATTCCATAGTGGAGTGGGGGTACCCAGAGCCCTGAGACTGCAGCCAGGGCTGGGGGGACGTGAGCAGTGGCATTTGCACAATGGACCCCAGCCCGTCTGTTAGGGGGGCTTGAGAGACATCTGCTGGGCCTTTGAGAAGGGCCGTTCTCAATTGTGAGATCTGGAGAAGGAAAGTGAGCCTCAGTCCAAACATCTTTTGTCTCCCAACTTATTTCCCAAGTCCAGGGGTGAGCAGATCCCTTGTGGTGAGGCTGGAGAACTGGAAGTGGTTGCAGGCTCACCCACCTCCCAAAAGGAGTTTCATGACATTCTGGGAAAGCAGTGTGCTCTGTGTCATAGCCGACAGCACGTACTGGCCCTGTGTGAAGCTTTAGGCCCAGGAAAGTGAAAGTCAACCCTAAAGGCACGAAAAGGCTCAGAAACCCCCTTTTGGCCCCATTGCAACAGGAATAAGTACCTGGAACAGGTAAAAATACTCCATAGGTTCCTCTCCAGGAAGCAGAGGAAGGAGCCAGGCATGGTAGTACATGCCTGTAACCCCAGCACTCGGGAGGCTGAGGCAGGAGGATCGCTGCAAGTTCAAGGCCAGCCTGGGCTACAAAGTGAGTTCAAGACCAGCCTGAACTGCGTCGTGAGACCCTGTCTCAAAAATCCCAAAAATAAATAAATAAGAAGTAGAAGTAGGCAGCAGCCTCAAGGCCTCGTATGCCCTTTGATGTACCTGCCATTCCATCAAGCTCATTTCTCTGTTTTTCAGCACTAAGCAGGGCAAGAAAAGCAGCTCTGCTATTGGGGCCTGTCTTGTGGAGACAGACTTACCCAGTCCTTGCGGTCGGGAGGGTGACGCTCTTCCTTTGTGGATCTTAGAACCACACTTCCTATAGCTTTTGAAGGTTTCCTGAGGAGTAGCGACCTTTCCGGAACTGTGACATGGTTGCAAGCCTATGCTGTTTCTTGTCAAAGATCTCACCATGATGGGCGGGCAGGACAGTTCCTCCTTCTCCCTGTCACCATTGGCACCAGCGCCCCTCCGCACTTGGTCCCGGTAGTATGGAGGCTCCCAGGCCTGGGCTTTGCCTGAGTAGGCCCTGGAGCAGAGGAGCTATTTTACCAGGTTCTGTTGTGAAGACCAAGCAGGCGGCCTGTCTATCTCCCATCCTCACTGTGTCTTTTTCATATGTGGAGCTGTCTCTTCGCTTAGGGGCAGCCAGCCCTGGAGCCAGCAGCTGGCTGAGCTGAGGCAGTGACATACCATGGCTGGCTCACGGCAGAATCCACTCTTGGCCGTTCACTGCCACTCCTTTCACTGAGCTTTACCTAGCAGAGAAGTGAAAATTGCCCCAGCCGCCAGAGGTTTCTTAAACCTCTAGCATCTACCTCAGTCTGCTCAGAGTCTAATAGTAACATGGCTTAGTAATAGTAACATGACCCAGTCCAGAGTCCTGGGATGAGTCTTGTCAAATGAGCTGGGCCCATGCTCTGTAAGAACACACACACACGCACACCAGCTTGTGGGAGACATGGTCAGCCTCCATTCCAGCCATAAAAGAGGTCTCTTGACCCAAAAGAACCCTCAACAACCAGGTGAGTGGATTGAGCTTCTTACATTGGTCCACTTTGAGAAGTCTGATCTTCTGGCACCTGCACCCCGGAAGTCCTGCCATGAGGGTCTGCTGCCTGCTGGCTTCTTGGGGACTCAGTGCAGGCCTGGGAGGAAGCTGCCCGGCCCAAGCTCAAGTACTGGGAGTTGAGCTGGATGTCAGCCAAGTACTGGAGTTAAGTACCCCTGGGCCTACTGACCATTGGCCAAACCCTTTATCTTGTAGGCAGTAGAGTGGGTCTCTTTGGCCACAAAACCAGATGGTAGCTGAACTCTGCCTATACCCACCATCCCTACAGCCACTGTGGGCTGGGTGTCCTGGGACTGAGGGTTTCTTATCTCAGGCTTGTGCCCCTGTCTTTTCAGGGATCGCGGTGTGCAACATCCCATCTGCGGCTGTGGAAGAGACGGCTGATTCCACCATCTGCCACATCCTCAATCTGTACCGGCGGAACACGTGGCTGTACCAGGCACTGCGGGAAGGGACACGCGTACAGAGTGTGGAACAGATCCGAGAGGTGGCCTCGGGAGCAGCCCGAATCCGTGGAGAGACACTGGGCCTCATCGGCTTTGGTATGTGCCCTTGGCCCAGCCCCAGCCCACAGTCCTGGACTTTCCTGGAGGAGCCAGGGATAGCCTGTGTGTGGGTATTTGCCCCGGGCAGAGCAGGGCCAGTGCCCCCGATTCAACGGCATAACAGGTTAGAAGCAAACCTGGAACTCACCCTGAGGTGAGTCTGAACTGGTTCTAGAAAGGGTCTGTCAGGGGTATGCATGGGAGACCTGGCCAGTCAGCATTGTTTGCGGTTGGGATGAGCGACTCCTGCCAATGGCAAGGCTGAGGTCTAACCAGAAGGCTCTTGGGTACCAGTCGGATGTGACAACAGGGTGTAGTGAAGATTCAAGCCAGGGGGTGGCACAGTCAGGACATGAGCTTGGAAAGCTCTCCTGAGAGTGCTGCAGGAAATGATCTTCCTGTACCTGGCTGTTGTCATGGAGACTTGGGCCAGAGGCCCTTGGGAGGAACTCAGCTGCAGCTGTAGGAGGGAAACCAGGGAATGGTTCAGGGTGA